GAACTAAGGTCTCCTCGACTTTCTCCTACCCCATCTCATCATTGATCCTTTTTCCTCTCCAAAGCCAGGGAAAGGCATTCTGAAAAGTGAAGTTCCCTTTTCTAAAGGAAGTTCCTTTCTTAGGTGTGAAACTGCCAGGAAATCTCACTGGCCAGAAAGGATTAACCATTACAGAAAGTACTGAAAATTAAACACCACACTTAAAACTCTAAGGAACTCTGTCCCAGGCCACTATCTGTTCTTTGGTCATATTTCCCCCAAATATCATTTGCTACCCCTGTACTATTCTCTACTATATCACACTTTCTTCACCCTTCTGAGAATGATATTTAGGTCCTCAACCGTCTGTCTCTTCTTTGAGTTTCATATTTTATATGGTTCCTGTACACATTAATAAATTTATATTCTTTTTCTCCTGTTATGTCTGTTGCTGATTTATTTCAGCAAACTTACAGACTCAAACCTTCAGAGAGGGAGAAACTCTCTTGGCCCCTCCTGTTTTGGCAGAATTCCAAAATTACTCTGCTCTTTTGGAAGCTGCAATAGGGAAGAGCCTAGGATCTGACAAGATGGCAAAAAAGGTAAGAAATTTTGTCTCCTAGATCTGCCTTTGGAATCCAGTTGAGCTAATGGTTAAGAGTCTTTTCCCTTTTAATTTATTTCAGGAGACTTGTTTGCGAAACCTTCAGAGGGAAGATCTGAACTTCCATACAGTTACTAGGGTAAAGTTGCTCTGGCAAAGACTGTATGCAAGAGCAGAATGCATTTACTCAACAAATATGTATTGAACACTTAATTTTATGCCAGGCATTATTTTAGACAAAAGGGATAGAAAAATGAACAAAACAGGCAAGAGAACTACTTTCAGAGTTTACACTGTAGGAGGGAAAAGCAAAAAATAAGCATGCAAACAATAATTTTGCTATTGATAAATGCCATGAAGACAATAAAAGGACAGATATTGTAATCAGAATGAGAGAGAACCTCATATGAGTGATATAATCATATAAGCGATTAAGAATAGTAGCTTTGACAAAGTGACATCTGAGCTGAGGCCTAGATGCAAAGAAGTCATATACATACCTACAGGAGTGTAATTTAGGCAGACAGAACAAAATACACAAAGCCTACATGGCTGGTATAAATTTAGTATGTGTTTTGTGGTGAGGAACTAAGTTACACACACACACACACACACACACACACACACACACACACACACACACAAAGCCCATGAGGCTGGAGCAGGAAGAGGAGAGTGGTAGTGATAGAGAGTTTAAAAGAAGTCAGGGGCCAGGTCATATAAGGTTCACAGTGCCTCTGCCTCCTAAGATCCAACCCCTCTCCTTTTTTTATGGAGTGGGGGAGACATAAAATAGTAATGTGGAAAATTAAAAAACAAAACAAAACAACTATTTCCCTACTCTGGGATGCCACTCAATATAATATACTTTACCTCTGGTCACCAAAACATGTTGGGATTTCTCCCCACCAACTCATTCTCCAGCACATACCAACTGATGGTGCTATAATTTAATTCAATTCTGGCACAATATACTTAGAGATAGCATCAGATTCCACAGGTTGAGTGTTCAGTCCCACGAGACTGCCCTCCTCTTCAGATGCCAATCACAAGAACAGGTTGTCACTAATAGCTCTAAACAAGCAGCTGCAAATTGGGGTTCCAAAGACTCCTTCCTTGGGTTAATTTGCTAGAGTGGGTCACAAAACTTAAGGAAACATGTTTACTAGTTTATTATAAAAGATATTACAAGAGATACAGATAAAAAGTCAGATGGAAGAGATGCATAAGGGATGGGACTGCAGGGGTTACATGACCTCTCAGGAGATGCCCTCCAAGCATCTCCATATATTCAAGGAAGCTCCTTGAAGCTCATCCTTTTGGATTTTTATTGAGGCTACATTATGTAGGCGTGATTGATCATCACATCATTGACTACCGGTGATCAAACTCAACCTTGAGCTCCCATCCCCTCTCTAGAGATTGGTGGTGGGGTGGAGCTGAAAGTACAAACCCTTCTAAATTATGCTTTGGTCTTTCTGGTGACTAAGCCGCTATCAAGAAGCTATCTAGGGGCTCCAAGTTACCTTATTTGCATACAACCCCCCCACCCAAAAAAAAAAACCCGAAACACTTGTCACTCTTCAGAATTTCAAGGGTTCTAGTTCCTTTGTGTCAAGAATCAGAAACAGAGAGATTCAATATATAGGTTTTATTATATCACAATATCGTAGACCACATAATAGAATCATTTTGAAATACACCAAAAAGCAACCAGGAAATGAGATAATGTGAAAAACAACTGCCTGTTATGTAGTAGATACTGATAGGAAAAAAAGATACTAAATGAGAATAACTATCAAGTTTCTCAAATGTATAAAAATAGTTTTTTTAAATGAAAAAGTTGATGGTTTAGTTTTAGGAAAAAAAGGAATGCAGAAGTATCAAAGTACTCCAAATTTAAGTCTGAATTAAGGGGACAAAAACAAAATTTAAAGAGATAGGTACAGGATGCAGGGAGGAAGAAAATGAAATATTTAAGCTGATGGAAATATCCCAAAGACAGTTGAGGTGAATAATTGAATAGAAATAAAAATGTGTAAGTCATCATTCAAAAAATTTCACTAAACCTCAAGTGTGAGGCACGAAGGGAGATATGAATAGTAAGTAGCTTTCCTTCCAGGAGGTTAGAATTTAGTCAGATAATCAGACATCTGCCCACAAATGGTATCTAGTATAAACTGAGAAGCCCCCCAAAGGAAACAAGCACACTTTTAGATAATTCAGATAGTGATTCATTTCTAAATTTTATTTTGGAGATTGGGAGAAGGGACCAAATTAAGATTATAAATGGGAGGGCTGGGGCCGTAGCTTAGTGGTAGAGGGATTACCTCATAGGTGTGAGGCACCGGTTCTATCCTCAGCACCACAAAAAATACTTACATAAAAAGATATTGTGTCCATTTACAACTAAAAAATTTTAAAAAAAGATTATAAATGGGAACCACTAGGGTTAGGTCCTAAGTTGGGTAAGAGGTGGATAGAATGCACAGGGAGGGGAAAAATGCATTCCCGGATAGTGAAAAAGCCTGAGGATGTGGAGAAAGGAAGATGCTCTGTGTATCATTCAGAAATCACATGTTAAGATTTGGTTGAGGCAAATTAGAGAGGATCTCATGAACACAAAGTATGTAAAGGAAGGAAGAAGGAATAATAAAAGGAAAACAAAGTCTGAGGTTTAAGGAAATGTTCTTAGGGATAGCAAGAAAAAGGGTGAGTTGGAAAGTGGAATAGAGGTTTATCTGTTGTTATAATAAAAGAAATGTTCATTACTGTGTATTGTTATAGAAGTAAAAAATAAAAATGAACTTCGTGATTATAAGGATAACATGAAAACAAGATGACATGCTGTTTGAACACGGAAGTTTATAACCTAGTTAGGAAAATCAAGAACTACATAACAGTATAATATAAATAATCTAATCTCATCTGCCTTATTAGGTACTTATCTGAATATGTCTTCAGCAATGTTCCTAGATAATTCTGAATCCATATAGCTTTTAAATTTAAGATTTAAAAAATAATATAATAAAAATGACTACCTTTCATATGATAGTAAGGGGAAGATGTTTGAAATAATTCTAGGGAATTCATCAGATTACCTTTTCTTTTCAGTTTGCTAACTTAACTATATTCAGAGTATTATCCATTCCCAAACAAGTAAAGCCAAACTTAGAAAGTTAAGTATCTAAAAAGAAGGATCACATTAGATTCAATCGCATCTGTTTATGCTTTATCACTAGACAGTCAAGAGTATGAGATGAATTCTACTATTATTATACTAAGTAAAGATGGTATTATGGTCCATAATCCTGACAGAATTATTTTTAATAGTCAAACTGAAGCCAGAATTAACTAAAATATTTAAATTTTAAGAACTCTTTATAAATTTAATAGAATAATTTTATAGGTATGATAAATTAGTTTGAAAGTTTGACTGTCTCTCTCTCTTGCTACATATACACATATAGAGCAATGTGTGTGTGTATCTCCAAGTGTTCTGCTGAAATACATTCAAAATATAAAATTAAGATCTTTACCTAAATTTAAAGGACAAGTAGTTACCATATATTTAATTATAGAACTTTACGAGGACTATGTTAAGGATAACACATTGTAGAAATCTAAAAATATTTCAGAGAACTGTTCAGTTTAAGATACTATTTTGCTTATCTTCAGTGAATAGGCAATGATGCCAAATTAAAGAAAGCTCTCCTGTGCAAGTGATTGTAAAAATGTCTGTATGTATATACCACACTCAATATTACATATCTATATCCTCACACCCAATGCCATAAATACTATGATGACCAATTCACTGCTCAACCACACGGTCCATCAACCACAGTAGAAACTTACATGGTCTTTTGTTCAAGAGATAACATTTGTTTTTTTTCCCAAAGTATAAGAGAGAAACAAGGCCTGTCTGTTTCATATATCATATGGACTTCATATTTTAGGGTTATAAGTAACATTTTTAAACCTTCATATAAATAGCACTTTACCTATATGACATCTTTACATTGTTAATCTAAGTATAGGTAGAAATAACCTGGTAAATTTGTTTAATGGCAATACTGCCACCCTCACTGGACAAAATCTTAAGTTGCTATTGCAGTTTATATTTTTGACTATTTTTCATCCATTTGTATATATTCTGGTTTATTTAACCAGCCTCCAGTGGAGAGTCATAGAAAACACAACATGCTTAGTATAAGCCTTCTTTTTCCAAACCATTGTTTAGTAAGGGCCAAATTTTGACTACCCTATAATTTCTAGTGACTATTCTTCCATGCTAGAAAATGTGTCTATAGTTGAGAAATGTAAAAAAGCAATGAAAACTTTCCATTAAATTAAGGTTCATATGGTAAGGGTTTAAAATTAGATTTTCAAGTTCAAATTTAAGAAATATACTTACCTTTGATTCGAGGTAGACATTTGCTGATGACATTTTTGTAATTTTGCATATGTAACTAACTAAAGAGATGGCACAAAGAATAAACAAGCTATCATTAATTAATGCTCGAACAAACACAGTCCATTTCAACTGATTTTCTGGGACATCTCCATGGACTAGCATTGCGCAAGTCAAGTTCACCACTAAAAAGAGAAGACTTGCTAATATAAAGCCCAAATGTAGTAGAATTCTGAAAGAAAAAAAGAATTTATTAGATGTTTACAAACTAATGAGAAATTAGTATGTTATTTTAGGGCACAAGAATTTCCTTAGCTTAAAATATTTATAATTTCATTAAATACAAATTTAATAATCCATCAGGGTTACATGGGCTATATATGCTGTTATGAAATTAGCATATAAATCATCTTAAGATGGCACAGATTTTAAAGCATTAATCCAGAAATAATCTGATGTAGATTTGAATTCAGTAGCTCCTACCAGGAAGATAATATAGGACTATTTTAACATAGTTTCAAGCAATCTTGAATTTTTTCATCTTTATAACTATTGAGCATATTTTCATTGACTTTTCCCTTCTGATAATTACCAAACTTTTAAACACTGCCTAGAAAATATACTGTATCTAAATTTAATCATTTAATATTAAATTTATATGATTAGTCCCAAGTTTAATATGATCATATTTAACATTAAATTTAAGAGGTAAAGGAAATCTTTTAAAATATATTTAATCCTATGAACTCCCAGTTATGTATATCAAACATTGCTTTCAAAATTGACTAAAGGACATGTATAATTTCAAGTACTCATCTACTGCATCTTCTTATAAAGGTATACATTTACAGTGCACACAGCACAGCTTACACATGAAATGCTTAACTTCTTTCCCTTAAAAAAAATTAGACCACCTCATATAAACTCTCCAGCTAAGGTGTGGCCATCTGTATAAAGTAGTAGTAATAGTTCTCTGTATGAAAGTAATCCCAGTTCAAATATATTTATATCTCCAAGTTAAGTAATATGGTCCAGAAATTTATTTGGCATCTTAATATCTTCTATTTTGTGTCACTTAACAGTGGGAATCATAGATCATCTGCCCTTGGAAATAGTTTACACAAGATAAATTGAAGGTAATGTGTAATCTGTAACAAGGCAACAAGCTTTAAGTTTAATGCAAAATGAAAAGATTTTTGTTTGAAAATGTTGAATTTTAATATTCCCTTAGACTAAATAATAAGAACAAGAGTTACATACTTTGAAATCCAAAAAAGGAGCTTGAAATTACATATCCAGGGAATTAGAGCAGTTTAGGAAACCAAAACATGGATAGGGTAAATGAGCTGGACACTCAGTAGGTTAGTTAGTGGGAGAATTAGGTCTAAAACCCATCTCTTGACTTGACTGTTTAGCATTCACACTGTTGAGATTAATCAGTACTGAAACATTATTTAGTTCATGATATTATACTATACATTCTCACTCCAAACAACATAATCTAACTTTAGCATATGTAGACTTTATGATGCAACATCTGACATCTGAAGTGGGGCAAAAGCAGAGATGAAAAAAATAAAAAAGTATTAGCAGCACTGGCTGAAGGGAGAGAACAGAGGGCTACTCAATTTACTTCCTTTGAACCAATCTAACTACTAACAAACTGCTAAGTTGCCCTCAGCAGCCCTTTCTTTTAACCTTGAGCAGTCTACTGTTAAAAATACTTACTTAGATGTTTTAGATACTAAACATTAATATTAATTCTTTAGATCTTTTAGATAGAGACTTGGATACTTGTGAAACTTACTTGTGTTTGTCAAGTTCAGTGGCACATCTGACTTTACATATAACCTATAAAGAGAGTATAAAAAGGTTTTGAAAACACGTGTAATAAAGTATTCCTCAATTTCTTTTGACTTTGTGTTTCAAAGCAATGCAACTGTAAAAAATTGAAAAGTCAGGTCATGAAATTTATTCTTGTTTTTAAAGTTTATTACATCTAGGCAGAAATAAAGACAAGTGAGTTTTGGAATGTAAGAAGCAAATTATAGTTATCTGCACAGGGGACAGCTGAAACTCAGTAGAAGACAGTTGAGGAAAAAAATATAGGATGAAAAGTCAACCTGTGATATGTTCAATACCCCTTCCCCCTGGTACTGGGAATGGAACCCAGAGCCTCACAAATGCTAGGCAAATGCTTTACCACTGAGTTACATCCCCAGCCCTGATATGTTCACATTTGACAGAATTAAAAACCACAACAGTAAAGAACAGAGAAATGGGCGGAGGAGAGAAACAGAATCAGATTAGAAACCAGTGGAAGAGTTTAAAGGGAAGAAAGCATAACCCTTGTTCAATTTTGCAAAAAGTCAAGAATGACTAAAAGACCATTTGATTGTGTCATTGGTATGTCACTGGTACCTTGCACAGAATAGTTTTCAGCAGGATGATAGAGCATACAAATATAAGGAGTAATAGGAAGACAACAGAAGCAGTGAGTACAGATAAACTGAAATATATGAAACTAAAAAAAACCTGAGATAACCTGTTAGGAGATAATTCTTTATGAATATCATGTTTTTGCATGGTCTAGATCTTCTGAGCAAAAGGGTTTGCAGGGCAAACATCTTTGAAATCTAGAGATAGCATTTAACTTAAAGTTAGAGGGAGATTTATTTCCCTCTATTGTAATAAAGAGAGAACATTTCTCTTCCTGAGGACAATTCCAGGGGAATAAAAGCTCTCCCTCCCTGGTTATAATTTGGTTCCATTCCAGGGCAAGTGTCTGTCTCTCTTATTTTGGGGTTCTCCTCTATAGCACACCCTGCTCCATGGGTAAGTGACACTGGACTCCTCCCAGTGTTGCCCTATGGAATGGAACTTGGAGACTTGATATAAGGCATTGCTTTGGATACTGCTTTTGCCATGGTATTTCTCTCTGACTCAATTTACTCAAAAATGAGACTTATGTTTTCTATCAGTATGTGTTTATAAAATAGTGAGAAGCCTCCCTGTTAAATTTCGGTAGGGTAACAGATTCTTTACAGTTTCTGATTTAAAAATCTGTTGGTCAGAAATGGACTGAATAGAAAGGGTGAGGCAGAAGGTGGAGACGGGGAAGAAAGGAAGAAAGCTCAGCTGTTGAAGGTGGCTTTAGCAGAGGCTAGTTAGCCCTTAAAGGGAAGTTTCTAAACAAGGAAGAAACTTGTAGGTCTACATAAAAAATTTAAAATGATTCATAAACCAGTTCTTTGTTAAAATAAGAAAATTGGACACAGTGCGGATTCAGACATTTTAATATAGAGAAGAAACATGAGAGAATTTGGCAAATGAATTCTAATTTGCTTTTCTAGTAAAGTAGGAGTAAAGGTCCTCTCCTGGGAAGCAATGTTAGATTTAAGCACTTGGAATATGGAAAACACAAATAGAAGTGTTACAAAAGAATATAGTGAGATATAGAGAGCTCCACTTAAAATCTGGTAGTTGATAGGACATATAGTCACCACGGTTTCTTGATTTTAAAATTGAAACAATCTAAAGAAAAAAATGGATGCTATTATAGAAAGTTCAAATTTAACTAGGCTTTTTTTTTCATGAAATAATTTAGAACTGTAAAATGCGGGAACTATGTAAGAGAAAGAACTTACTCTAACAAGTGAACTACTTTGGCTACCAAAATGTCAAGAGATGAGGAATAATAGAATGGAGTGGGGAAAGCATGAGATGCAGAGTGTCTGAAAGTTAGGATGAGGATGAAAAACAGATAAATGGATGAATTCAAGATGTACAAGAGAAAAGATATAGAAGACATTAGTCAGAAGAAACAGCTTCATTTTTTTAGAGCTGTTCCAAGGTGTGGTCATGCTAATGGGTGGCTTAAATAGAAATGGAAAGTTTTAGGGGAAACCACTGAATTGAGACTTTGGATGGGATGTCAATATAGGCTTTGAAAATGGTCATATATCACAGGAGACAGGGCAAGAAGGAAGAAAGTGCTGATTCATCCAGGAAGATGGAAGTTATTGTTATAGCCAATGATGACCTAATCAGATGGCACAGATTTCAGAGAGATGATGAAGGTCTAACATCAGTAAGGAGTACTGGGAAGCATAAAATAGGCTGATTGTTTTTTCCACAAAAGGCCTGAAGTGTCACCTGGGAAAAGCTAGATTTCAGTGAAGGCATTTAAAAGGATCACATAAAGAAAAGAATGGGGACAGGGTAGGAGGGGTAATTCATAAAATTACAGGTCATAGAATAATGGGTGTGAGCCAGAGTTGAGCTGGATAAGGAAAGAATTAAAGGTCAATTACCATCCATTGTAGTAAAATTAACAGTAATCTGATATTAATAGATTCCAAGTATTTTATAGAATATACCTAATAGGAGATGATCCTGAGCAAAAAACAAAGTAGTAATATCAAAGAGTGCAAGTAATTATATATCCTTTGTTAAGGTAATAACTCATGAAGTACAATAAACACATGCTTTATGTAGATTTTATGTTTAGAAAGACAACATATATTTAAATGACTTGATGTTAATTTATGTTAAATGGGCCATATTTCCATACACCAGAAAAACTGAATAAATGGGTCACTTTATAAGAATATTTGTTTGTATAAGATTTAGAAGGATTAGTGAATATAAAATGTTTTTCATCATGTAACCTACCTTTATCCCATATATAAACTAGCAGCTTTTAATTTAGAAAATATTGATTCAGGATTTTGACTAAAAATAATGTCATCACTAACATACTCAGTTTTATTTTGTAATAACTAATCCATAGATAAAAGATATGAAATTATTTTTCCATTTTAAAATGCAGACTTCTGTATTTTGTCTTATTTAGTTCCTCAAATAAAGAGAAGGTGAAAGTATAGCAAATGTATTTGTGTGTCAGTTTTTTAATACAAGTATCTCAAAACTTGAGGATGCTGCTATGGTCTGAATGTTGTTTCCCCAAAATTACTATATTGAAATATTAACCCCAAGGTGATGGTATTGGGAGTTGAGGCCTTAGGGAGTTAAGTTATGAGGATGGAGCTCTCATGAATGGGGCTTTAAATCCTTATAAAAGAGACCCCACATTTCTTCCACCATGTGAGGACATGGTGGGAACACACTATTAATGAACCACCAAGTGAGTCCTCACCAGACACTGAATCTACTAGTATTTTAGACTTTTAACCTATAGACAGTAAGAAATAATTTTCTGTTGTTTATATATGCTATCCTGTTCAGGGCATTTTGTTATAGCAGCCTGAAAGTACAAAGCAGAAGATTTACACTGGAGGTGTACCATTTATTTTCCCTCATGACATGTAGCCTATGTTGTTTGAAGTGCTGAAATAGTAACAGAATGAATGCTTTTCTATGGAATTTATTTTAGTTTTCCCCAGTTTTGTTGATTTGAAATAGAAACTTTACTGGAGAAAATACATATGTAAAATTTGGAATTCATTCAAAAATGAATTGTGGTAAACATACTCTCTTCCCCTTGGAACAGGCATATCCAAATACAGTTTACTTTTCCAGATGCAGTTACTCACAATCTACATCTCAATTGCTTAAGTTCCTAAGGAGAGTAGTGCATCACTCTCAAGCTTCTTATTGTCACTGCCTACATATGAGATTTCTAAGGTACTTTATCTATAAATTGAATAGCCATACTTATCTTTACAAGTTCTCTTTCAATGTCTATCATATGTTTAAGAATTTTTAGTTTCTAAATGTTTTTCTTTATAACAGCCTGTTCTTGTTTCTAGCATATAGTATCTTCTTAGGATCCTAATATTATAATACCTTAAAAAATTTATGTTTCTTTTCTGTTTAAAACTTTCTTATAGTTATAGAGGGACACAATACCTTTATTTTATTTATTTTTATGTGGTGCTGAGGATTGAACCCAGTGCCTCACGCATGGTAGGCAAGCACTCCACCACTGAGCTACAGCCCCAGCCCTTAAATTTCTTTTCTTTGCTTAGTCTGTTTTCTTTCAACTTGCTTAAAAATGATTTTATATAATTTCCTAAGTGACGAGGGTGTTTCACTGTATCTAAACAGTTTGAAAAAACAATACAGCTTATATTGAATACCTGATTTCTCTCTGGGAGTTTGGACTTTTTGTTTGTATTTGGCAGAGACTGCCTATGTGCCTATGCTTTAGGAATATACAGAACTTATATTTGAACTGAGGATCTCAGTAAAGACTTAGACTCACATTTTTACATAATGGCATATTAGTGACTGTTGTATTCTGCTACCATTCCTATCCCCTACTATCCCCCCTCCCCTCCCCTCCCATCTTCCCTCTCTACCTCCTCTGCTGTATGTAAAAATGTGAGTGTGTAACAGATGTGATTCTGCAATCTGTATTTGCGGTAAAAATGGGAGTTCAAAACCCAACTGAGTCAAATGTATGAAAGATGATATATCATGAGCTCTGTAATGTTTTGATCAATAAAAAAAGATTAAGCTAAAAAAAAAGACTTAGACTCCCTGAAAAACTGATTTAAACTGAATTTGTGCTGAAATTATGCTGTCCTTTAAAAAGTTTTCTAACACTAAATACTGTGCATTACTGATTTTTCATAAACCTTTCATGCTTAAGTTAGGAAGATGGCAGAATAGCTTTTTGTAAGGATATGGAGTCAGATTTATTGAAGAATATCAGCATAACTGATAATGGTGGGGAGAAAAAAGGCAGAAAGTATACAGTAGTAGTAACAGAATATCCCAGGGGAGAAACAGGCAGAAGAATGATGCTTACTGATCTTTCACCTTGATTTCTTTAGGACAATAACAATCTAAATGTAGGTAGTGATGATGATCACTAACATGAGCTT